GCTGAAGCTCAGACACAAGCATGTCAAAAAAAAGTCTTGTTAACCCCATCCACAATTTATTAAGATCTGTAACTACAATGAAGAAATTTAGAACTTACCCTTTTTGCAAGGATTTTTACAAGCTACAGAAGCTGAAAAGCATCTGGAAAAAATTCACTGAAAACATACACAAAGAGTGGAACTGAGAAACCCCTGCTAGTTTATGTGTTTATTTTCATCACACTGTGGGATTTTACATTTCAAAACACTGTAGTATGGTGGAGCCTGTCACAATTCCTGTATGGAAGCAAGAACAGCAGTAGAAACCCAAAAAAAGGGGGGGGGGGGGTGGCAGGCTAGTCATTTTAAGAGACTGTAAGTAAAGCAACACAATTCATCCAAACAGAATTGCCTCCTTGCTTTATCAGCTGCAAACTAAAGCACAAAGCCAACAGGATTGAGTTTCTGCAACGCCTCAGACAATACTAATGAAGAACAAATCAAGCATGAATGCTAGTAACTGTATTACTGGATATAAATAAAGGATTAAAGGCCCTTTTTATTTTTTATTTTTAAAGATCAGAAATACTAAATTTCACTGAAGCTTAAAAATAGCACCTACACATAGGGTCTCACAAAAATGCAGTTGCCTACCAATCTAACATGGGCGTAAATTTCAGGTTTTCATCTCATGAAAATGGTTCTGTCCAAACCTAGCTAAGAACTTTTGCTAGTTAAAGTTCTGGACTTTCAGTGTCTCTGTCTCAAATTGTAAGTTCAAAGATACTATTCTGTGTTTAGGTGGTGATGGAGTTTGTCCAAGCAAAGTACAACCGTTAGTTAAGACAGAAAGACACCCTAAGCAGAGGTTTGCGGTTTTTTAAAGATGCTTAAGTGTAGTAACCATCATTTCTCACTTTGACCTTTCAGTTATAGGCATTTTGGGTTTTGTTGAGGGCCAGACTTGACCAAAACAAATTGAAGCAGAAACGAACAACACTGGGGGGAAAGGACAAAACTGTTCAATGTGCATTCCTGTATTCTCATATTAATGCTTCAATCCTATACTAATTCTGGCAGTTATAGGCGGCCTATAAATGTGTGAATGAATAAAAATTTATCTGGGAGTGAGCCAGTGATGAACTCAATGGAACATTCCAGAAGAAACATACATATAGCACTGTGCAGCTGGCTTAAAAATGGGTACTGTTCATAAGACCCTATATGGACCTAAAATTTTAAAAGCCATTCCCTTTAAAAGCAAAGTATGCAAAAAATATAGAGAGAGTGACAAAGATGAAAAGACTGGTTGTAAAAATGCAAGAGGATAAATATTCTGAGTTATAAATTAGTACAACTAAGTGATCAACTATGCATCCTTGCTCATTAATAGTATAAAAAAATCAATATGAAATTTGATTTAAATTTCACTTACTGGTTTAAATAGACTTCATTTATATTAATTCACCCTGCATATCAGCACTAGGTGTTAGAACTTTGGGACATCAACTGCACAAGCCAGAAAAGAAAATAGCTAAGGTTTGTAAAGGATGACACGAAGATGTCTCCACACCAGCACCAATTTAAATTGCACTGATTTACACCACATTTGCCCCATGGCTGCATCATCAGGAAACATATGAAAGGAAACTCTGAAGGTTACCCAAATAGCTGTTTCTTGCAAGTGGTGGGTAGTGGTAAAAATTACAGCACAGAGAAGAACTAGCGATATAATAATCATACACCTATACGTTTGTTCCTCCCCACACACTTTTCCTTTTGACATGGAAAATCGTTTAATTCTCAAAGAACATTTTTCTGAAGAAATGTATTTTTTTTAAAGTGTTGTTAGCCACACACACAATGGAACATTCTAGAACAGACATATATAGCACACACAAATAGGCAGCCTAATAAACATTGCTTAGGCCCAACGTTTTGCAAATGGGCTTATTCCCAAAGGGTATGACAGTACATTAAAAAGAACGGGAATAAATGCATGGTTTTCACAAAGAGTGTCAGAGTAAGAAACAGAGTCCCACATGGAACTGATGTTATGTGATCTGCAATCAAAAGTGGACAGTGAAGCAGCTATGCTTGCAGATGCCACCAAATTTAGGGTAGTAACAACTCAAGCAGACTGAAGACCTCCAAAATGATCTACAAATTATGAATCAGAAACAGTAACAAATTACATTTGGTTCAAGTGGACTAAGGTCAAGAGATATACTACTGATGGGTAACACTATTTCAGAGACTTGCCGTTCTTGGAAATATCAATTCTCGGAGCATGACACAGACTGGTACCCCAGAATGCAAGGTGAGCATGGACCCTGAACCAAGGATCTTCTTAATCCAAGCTGAAGAAACAATTTCTTACTTTGCATGCATGCAGTCAGTCTGCACCCCACTCCACTTACAGGCCTAGCCAGTGTCACCAAAAGAAAGCAGGAAGGAACTCTCCATCATTCACCCAGGCACGTATCAGGTCATGAGGCGCACCAGGCTTCAAGAAAACTGTAGAGATCTACTTCAAGAACCCTCTCCTGCTTCCATTTGTTTGCCATCAGAGAACCACCATCATGCCGGCCAGTAAGTGAGGCAAGCGGAACTTATCTTATTTCCAAATTTGGGTTAGGCAGAAAATAAACTTAACTGTTACTCTGGGTGGGTGGAGAAAATAACTTGGCTTTTTCCCAATCCAAATTGAGTTTTGGAGTAACAGCTGATCTAAACAGGATGTGACCACCAAATAACAAGTTCCCCAACAGGCAAATTCTTTGCTAGACATTATTAGGCAGGAAACTGAAAATAAAACAGCAGAACTGTAATGCCTTATTGCAAACCTATGGAGTAGCCACATTTGGCATACTTATACAATGCAAGTTTGGTTATCCCATCTCAACCAAATGAACTTTTAAAAAGGGTAAAAGCTGAAAAAGAACAAGAACAGTGACTAAAATAATCTTGAAGCACCTCCTCTACAAGGCAAAGTAAACATGTTTGGAGCTTTTTAGTTTAGAATAATCTATTTTTTAAATTATGGTGCCAGTGCACAGTACTGGGACACAGAAGATCTGGGTTCTAGTCCCCACTTAGCCATATAGCTTGCTGGGTGACTTTGGGCCAGTCACAGACCCTCAGCCCTACCTACCCCACAGGATTGTTGTAAACATTAAATTGAGAAGGAGAACTATGTAAGCTGCCTTGAGCTCCTTGTAAGGAAAAGACAAGATATAAAAATAATGAATTAACATGGAGAGAGCAGACAGAGATTCTTCCAATATAGAGCTCAGATTCACCGAAGAAAGAGCAGTATTTTCAGGAAGAAAATGAGAAAGTAGCATTTCACACCAGGGAACCCACATTTAACTTATGGAATCCACTGCTGAAGGAACCTGCACAGATTTGCTACATTAAATATTCAGTTCACAGTTCACAGTGACTGGCACGCGGCAACAGCACATGTTCAGTCTGACGTGGTGTAAGCAAGAGAAACAGTATGTACCACTTTAAAAAGCTGTGCTGTACACAGATAAATATGTTAGCTTAAAGAAGTTGAAAGACTATGGTTGCTTTTACAACAGCAGACTTAATATATTTGTTTACTTTTTCCCTGGAATTTGATTTTACATTACCGTTCCATTTGAACACAGCTAAACAATGCTTTACTGTTACAGGAAGAAGCCTCAGGCCCACACCCTCACCCCACCCTTTACCGGTTCCCCTTTATCAAAGTCAAGAGATCTGATAATTTTGCTTCCATTTTGTTCAGCACAGCTTGTCATTCCACTGGAACCCCTGACAAACAGTACTTAATTATGGTTAGTTGAAACAAACTACCTATGAACTATGGGAATGAAGCTTAGAGTACACAAATGCTCTGCTACAGAATCTTCACTGGCTGCCAACATGCTTCCAGGCAAAATTCAAAGAGGTGGCGATGACTTTAGAAGCCGCAAAGGTTACCTGAAGGACTGCTTATACTGACAAACCTGCCAAGGTGTTAATGCCTCACCAACATCTGGATTGTGTTTGGGGAGGGTGTAAGATGTCCTTCTCAGTGGCCATACTCCTCCTAAACTATGGAACTTCCTTCCTAGAGAGGCCCTTTTAGCTTCTTCTCTACTAGCTTTCCAGCAGCACATGGAAGACCTTCCTGTTCAGATGGCTTTTTCTGTAATTTGTGATTCTGGGTTTTAGCAGACTGATGCTTTTTAACTTGTTCTTGCCATTTCTATAGTTATACTTTGGTTGTTTTCACTGATTTTTTAAAAAAAATCTTTTTAATTGTACAGTTTTCCTGCATATCTCCTGGAGCTATCAACTGCAGAAAGATGGGATATAAATTTCAACAAATAAATTGTAGCCAGAAAATTTCTATAAATTTGAACACATGGCTCTCCTTCATTTGCAGACCATCTAAAACCACTGCAGGCTTTGATCCTGATTTCACTTTAGATATAAGCAGCCTAGCTTTGAAGGACTGTAACACCCACTCTGCTTTGGGAAATATCCAAAACTGGGGTAAGGTGAAAACAAAATATGGATATTTGCCAGCTGAATGTAAGTGTCCTGCTTTACTTGATTACAGTACACAGATCCATTACTGTTCAATATATGCACACACAAGCTTCTTTGCCAATATGCTTCTTTAAAAGAAGTTAACTGAAAGTGAGCACGATGAAGGTGTCATCATGATATATAATAGCTACAAATATTTCTGTCCCCCATCCCATGTCCCCTATAAATGTAGTTGATCATTAAAAAAGAAGTATCTGTAACCTCTAATGGAATGTTCTAGATACTAATGCTTGTATGTCCTTGCTTAGGACGCTACAAAAAGGTGGCACTACTGACCCAGACTGCAAGGAACTGGCAAGAGAATCCATTATTTCTGCCTAACATGTTAGCTGCAAATTAATAGCAAGTGCAGAGTGTTAATTTAAGCCTGCTGTGAATTTAAGACTCTGGGAGAAAATACTCAAGTTAGGAAAACAATGACAGTACTTTTCTCCTACCTTTTAAGTGATTACGTTTGCAGACTCAAGACTGGAGGTGAATGGTACATACAGAAAAAGCAAGTCAGCCTCAAATATCCTGCTCAGCCTTGCAACTGGAGCATGTAAGATGTTTTGCTAATAAATGAACAAAAAAATCAAAATATTAGTCTGATTGCCTTTTCAAGAAGAGTGTTCAAATGGTTGTTGCAGCAAGACCATATATAGCCTTCTGTACAGAACTCTGCCATTTGCCCCTTGAAATTCTGCCATTCACCACTATGTGGCAAACTATGCAATTGCAAAATGAAGTTGGAAATCCTTAGAAGATTCCTCACCTGCTTCTAAGAAAGCAGGATAGGATTGGCTTGTTTAGCCACTTGCATGTCAAAACACTTCCGACACAACCATCACTTTAAGATTCTTTTCAATTTACAATCCTAGTTTGCTCTCACCGCAGTAAGCATCCAGGCAAAATGTAATGTCTTCTTCCCCTCAGCATTTGCAGTTTCTCCTTTAGATCAGAAAGAACTTTAAACCACTGAAATTAGAACCCCTTCTGGCAGACTCTAATCAGTAAGTCATTCTAAGATGTTATCTTGAGGCGGCACTAACACAATTTCAGGAAATGTTCTTGTACCTATGCCTAGCATAAGCACCACGGCAAGCATTTCAATGGTTTTTGCTGGGCTGGAGATAACCACAGGAAGCTTCAGATCACATTCATCAAAAAGCATAAGCACAGTTTAAAGACAAAACTGGTTTAGAAATTTAGGATTACATGTTCATATTCTACATACTCCTGGCCAAGGAAGCACACATACATAAGCAACCTGTGCACACTCACTTAAAAATTAATGTACACAGAGGACTGAATTGCTAGGCTGCGATGCTATGCAAGATTACTTGAGAAAGCCATTTTAACTCTAGAACCTGCAAATGTAACAGTTTAAGTTGTCTGACTTCTAGAAACATTCCTCTCAACAGAAGGGGAGGGAGTTAAATCAAATTGCCATTTTATTGCATTCCACTATGGATGTTTTCAGCAGCAAGGAACTCAGATACTAGTAATTCAAGGTAATTTTATCTGAGGCCACTAAAGGGTCTGTGGACACCAGATGCTGTACCCCTGCTAAAACAGATGCAAACCCAATCCATTCCCTCGGAAGGAGACTCTTGAGAGCCCCAAGCAAGGGGAGAATAGAGTCAATACATTTAAAGAAATGTTCAGTGATCTATGATGCCTCTGCTAAAGAAATTCTTGTCTAACTGATTAAGTGTAGCAGACTAGATGCTTCCCACAAAGAATGCCTTATGCATAGTTTCCTATTAAGCAAAGCCAGCAAGATGTTTCTAACACCAGCAGTTACACCCAGAAGCCACATCACAAACTGAAGCATGTAATTTTGCTCTACTAACCATATTTGTTCATCCTTACAATCTCATTTTTTAAGAACTAGAGGTTAAGACCATGCAAAGGGTTCAGCTCACACTGGGGTTACATTCATAAGGCACTAAGCCCATCTCAGAGGTCACCTCGGCCAAAGTTCAAGTTTCACTATAAATAACCCATTTATATAGAAAGCTCCCGCTTAAAGCTTTACTAACTCCATAGTCTACATAATTTGAAAAGCTAAGGTATAAAGGCAGATATAATCCAAATACATGAAGACGACTGCCAGTTATAACCTATGGAAGATCATAATAAAACAGGATGCATACCACACGGGTGATACTAATAAAGTATATTTTACTAGAATTCATCAAATCCTATTGACAGGAATGGAAGTTGCTTTACATAAGATTTGGATGGCAGCTTGCATATGAACCTCCTAGCTGAAAATCTGACTAAGACAGCTGTTTGCAGAATAAGCATTTCTAGATAGACTCTTTACTCGGTATTAGCCTATTCAAGCACGTTCTTTTAAATCCACCGATAGCTCCTCAGAGCAACATGTAACAGCATAATACTGTGCAGGATTTTGCCTCACGTCTTAACAGGCAAGTTCAAGCTTAATGCCAATTGTAACTTTTTACAGATTCAAGCGTTAAAAGCATTTTAACACCTCTACAGTGCTGCACATGGTATGTTAAGTTAGACAGAGAAGGTAGTTGCCACAGAGTGAGAGGTCAAAGGTTGTTGCAGTGCAGCAATGGGCCCTTTTCTTGTAAAAAGTTGACCATGCTGGCTGAGACCTAAGAGGATTTTAGTTAAACACATCTGGAGTGAAAGGAAGGCTGCAATACACTTCACCATTTCCAGAGTCACCATTTTCATAGCATGTAAGAAAAAGCTTCTCCTATCCAACAGATGCTGTCCATCCAAATAAATTTTATTACTGTTGGCAGCAAAGTAAACGCTCTGGATAAGAACAGGCTCATCCTGTAAAAAGGATGTCACATGCAGATGAGAGTGAGCATGTTTGGAAACAGATCTTTTCATATCTGGCCCATATGCTGCAGCAGGTATAGAACGTGATGCCCAGGATGCTGGCAGGGCACCTGGCCACACACACATTACAATGGTAGGAAAGCAACTGCACTAGCTACCAAGACATGTGCAAGATTTCATTTTAGGCAAATAAAATTCTGAACAACTTGGGACCAGGTCATCTGGCCAACTCCGTTCCCTGATAAAGACCCATACAACCACTCAGCTCCTCAGCAGAGGCCTACCATCTATAATTGCGTATGGTGTATGGTGTGTTGCCATCTAAAGAATTTCTCCATGATGGAACCTACGCTGCAGAATGCCTCCCCCATGGTTTGCTGGCGGCACAAATGGTGGCATGCTTTAGGCACCAGCTAGAGACCTACCACAGGTTTGAGCAACTTTGCATCATACCCTAGAGATTATTGGAATTTTAAGCCACAGCATCAGATGATCCACAACTTGTTCATCTCTGGCTCTACATTTTCACCCAGGCCTTTCCTGACTTAATTGCGTTGCTACTGATTATTGGTTCTCAGATTTTAAACATTTTAACTAAGCAAGTTTATCTTTTATAACTGTGGATGTCTCATATTTTAATACAAAAGGGGAGATATTACCCATAAAGGCAGCTTAAACATAATTTTAAATAAAATAAAATTTGTATTTTGTAAATTACTCTGGGACTTCTTTTAGGATATGATTAAACAGTCTATAAATTGATTAAATGTATTTAGAAAGCCAAGACTTGTTGCTGCTGCTTATTAAGTGTATACTCAGACCTGCTGCCACATATTGAATTTCTCCTGTTAGTTACAACTTTCATGTACTAGAAATCAACACTGAAGTAGAAATTAAAAATAGGTTGCCCTAGAAATGCACCTCTTTCCCCACTGAAAAGACTAAACTTTCAGGAAAAACAGCAAACTACACCTCAATCTAAAATACATTCTTTCCTTCTAATCTCAATGTAACTTGAATTAAGGAGAAAGACGGAAATGATGTACTCGTAAGGTATGCATTGGTACAGTGCACTCCAACATGTCCAATGATTTCTCTAGAAAGATGTTCTAGTCCTCTATTGGTTCCAGGACCTCCTCTCTCACATGGAAAGCTTTCCATGAGGCTGAAGTAACTGATCAAGAGAAGCTAGGAAAGGCAAAGAGAACAATGGCTGAAGATTTCAAGGATGTGATTGTGGACTCTAATTCACAGTGTGACAACTCCTCTGCTAGCAGAGACAGTAAGGGTCTCCAGAAAGAGGCTATCACTCTGAAGCAGTGAAGTTGGGCAGAAAACTTTTTGTGGTTTTTTTTTAGAAACTTGTTCTCCTATGAAGAATTTTCCATACTATAAATATACTGATAAAGAATAGATGCCAATTACAAATACAAGATCAGGCTAAGTACGGCAGTTTTAAAGTTGCAATTCATGTTTTCCAGGTGATTATCCTTAGCAGCCATGTAAGAGAATACATATGCATCACTGAAGTACATATACAGCTTGATATGAAATGGAAACAGTAAGTAGTAACCATGAAATTGAAGGTAGTCACAACTCCTCCATGCAAAGCTGAACAGAAACGAAACAGATGACTTGACATTTCTTTAGATTGCTAAAATGAGTTAGTATGTCAGCTAGGTTTTCTTTTTGCTTAAATTTAACATGGTCAAGTATTGCATTGGAAAGATCTTTAATTTTTACACGTATTCCAATTAAAAATGTTAACATGCCATTTATATATCTTACGAACTGTGCTTTATTTCTCCACAAACATTTTGGATTGAATACCCATACAGTACCAGAACAAAAAATTAACATAGTGCACACTTAGAATTGTTTACTAATGTAAAACAAGCATGCTAAATTAGAATATTTAGGCATCAGAACATTTTCTGCCAAAACCTGAATTTTTTTCCAGGTCAAATGACCCTATATGAATTAACCTGATTTACACAAGGAAAGTTTCTGGAAAAACTTCCACTCTTCCGAGGGAAAAACAGGAAATGATCCCTTAGAAAAGGCCTTGGGGAAGATTTGAATACCTTTAGATCTTTGTGTGCTGAAGGTCTTCTTCTAAGGGGACTTGCAGTAGTGCTTCAGTCAAGAGATGCAGTTATATGAGCAAGATGCAGGCAACATCATGGCCTGCCTGTTGTGGAGGACACAGGTGTCACCTGGACAGCATGGCAGATAGTGCTGAGATGCAGTCAGCCAGCGGTTGAGTTACCCATCAGCACTGCTGACCTAGGGGAGCTGCAAAGGCCTGGAAGCCAACTTTAGGCTGCTGAAGGCTGAAAGCCAGGATCTCCAAAGTACCACCTCCTGAAACACCACCTGTTTCATATGAAGGGACAGTTACAAACAGAACAGAGGAGTGGAAGTATGCAAAAAGTGTGGTTTCCAAAAAGGAACTGCATTGGAATCGATGCTTTTTAAACTGAGCCAGAATTAAGTGTAAGCCGTAAGAACCAAATTATTCAAGGGCAGTTAAAACAGGATGGGACTGTGAAGAGCTCCAAACTGAAGAACAGGTATTAAAATGGTAACTGTGGTTGAATGCAAAAAGGCATGTGCAAACTGGGGCAAAATAATCCAGACTTGTATATATACTGAAGAGGTCTGAGCTGATGTTGTCTGACCAGAAAAAAGCATTCTGATGGGCACTTCAGTGTCAGTTTTGTCAAGTGGAATTGCAGTGAAAGAC